AATGTCTCAATTCCGGTGGCGAATGTGTTGAAAAATAGCTGGACACTTGCTGTATCTGTTGCAATAAATATTTCCATGAAATTGTGTTTTGTTTCTGTAAACGGCCCCAGGGAAACTTACTTTAAGGACGAGCCTCGTAAAATGATATTTTAATTATCTTAATTGTAAATTTTAAATATGAATTGTGATTAGACGGACAAAAACCGAATAATTAATTAAATTTCACAATATGACGCAACTATATCATCTTATAAACTATTGTGTAATCACCCGTTTCACTTAGACACTTACTTTTGGTTTAGATATCGCATGAAACGCAAAGATTTTGCAACAAAATTTACATTAATAAGCTATTAAAGTTGTTACTCAACCTACAAGACACTTTAACTTGCCAAGCAAGTTTACTATGTGGTATTCCATTCGTTGTGTACCAACATTTTATAAGGAACTTCCTACCAATAATATTAAACTTCTAATAACACATTTCTATCTATTGTTCTGTTATTTCCTCGTACGTCGAAATATTATCATCATTACCCTACTCCGAAGCAAAATTAATGCATACATTCCCTTAGGAACAGATACCACGTTTCAAACCCATACAAAAAGAAACCATAGTTCCCAAATATTTGAACTTAGAGCTTATTGAACATCTTTCCATCTTACATTCAGTCAAGTTTCTTCTGTATCTACTGGCATATCGACCTCCTCACTAGAATCTAATGAGGTCTTTACTTTTCATTAGGGCAAAAACATATTTTCGCCCGTCACAGATCGTAAGAACATTCGAAACACCAAGTCAACTACCAGCAAGTGAGACTGTACTCGTATTTAGAACCGTCTTGCTCAATCAGCTTTACGCACTGCACCAATATAAAGCCGTGGCCGATTCTTTCGGTGGACATCAATATCCAGTGACGTCACATTTTATTATTTTTTTTATTTAGTGTTCTGTCTGACGACAGGTCCGTATGAACAGGATCCTTCCATCCTTTTCTCGGACTGGGACCTGTTCATATACGTTCTTGGCAGATGATCCAGAAGTGGTTTGCCATTGCCTTCTTCTGTGTGTGAATGGAGTAATTGTTGGGATGCCACGGAGGAAAACTCCGTGTTGCCTAGACCACGGCCTTGCCCAACACAAGTTATAAATTCGGGCACCGCCGGGAATCGAACCCGAGACCCCCAGGATTACAAGGCCAGCGTTCTAACCGCTAGACCACCGTGGGCGTCACATAAGCACCAAAAAAGAGTCCGAACACGCCCTACGGTGAACTGACTCTAAATGAAGTGATTCGTAAGCAATAATATTTCCGGATGGGCTCACCATGATGAATCTTGTTTCCGACGCGCAACGAACTTGCTGGACGGATAAGACACAGAGCGATTCATCGGCAAAACACCAGGAACACTAACACGGCGTCAGTCACACCAACCATCCGCAACTCACAACCTGCAATTCCTTTCCATTGCTTCTCACGTGTAGACTCTCGGAGAGAGGTAAAAAAAAAAGCCAGATAAGAAATGAATGCTGATAACGATATTCTGTCAAAGAAAACACGATGAACTTGTCATGTCCTGGCCTCACGAACAGCTTGTGCAAGAGAGACGATGACACTGTAACAGACTTATCCGCCACATTTGGAATTCTCGTGACAAAAGTCAAGTGTAAGTCGGATA